AAATAAATAAAAAAGACTCCAGGAATTCACAGGATACCCACTGAGATGTTTCAACAGATAGATGCAATTTGTCTATGCTAAGAAATTTGAAAAACATCTGAACAACTGACTGGACGAGATCTATATTTATGCCCATTCCAAAGAAAGGTGATCCAACAGAATATGGAAATTATTAAACAACATGATTAATATCTCATGCAAGTAAACTTTTGCTGAAGAGAATTCAAAAACTGTTGAAGTACTACATCGACAGGTAACTGCCAGAAATTCAAGCCAGATTAAGAAGAGGACGTGGAATGAGGGATATATCCCATGATGGGATCGGATCGGATGACTGTGTTCTGAGTGGCCAATCTGATGAAGGGGAGTTTCCCTAGAGGTGTGGCCTGCTTCCAAGATATCCAGGGACATCCTTGGAAGAGAGACGTTCTTCTGTGGATCAGGATTACATTGTGCTGCCTACAACTGTCCGTGAGTGAGCAGTCTACTGTTCAGCCTGGAGATCTTGGATTCATCATTCATTGGAGTCAACTGCTGGTGCACTGCCTGCCAGCCTTGAGCTTCTCAGCCCCTGTGGTTGCGGGAGCCAGGGAAAGTCTCCAGGTTGACGTTTGATCCAGGGACTTTGGACTTGCCGGCTTCTATATGTTTGTGAGCCATTTTCCTAAGATTAATTTCTCTCTCTCTCTCTCTCTATATATATATAAGCTTTGCTGTTTTTTGTTTCTCTAGAGAACCCAGTCTAACATACTTGGTGAAGTAGAGAGTCAGCAAAAAGAGAAAGACCCTCAAGGACATTTGACCCAGTGGCTCAATGATGGGCTCAAATATAGCAACAATTGTTAGGATGGTGCAGGAATAAACAGTGTTGTGTTCTGTTGTATATAGTGTCACCATGAGTCAGAACCAACTCAAAGGCTCCTAGCAACAATAACTCTGAGTACATAGATAGTAACACAGTTGGCATCTTCCCAATTGTCAGTTCAAAGAAAGTTCTCCAATACAAAAGGACAGTACTTCTTTGTAGTAAGGCACCATTGTAATTAGCTGTGTTCTGAGCTAGCTGATAGACAGAAGCAACCACAGGACAATACTTCAAATTCAAATATCTACAATAGTACATATGAAGAAATCTGTTCTCAGTTTATCTGACTGACATTTATGGTATCTGTTGGCTTCACTTTTATTTATTTTTGTTGCAAACTCATAAAATAGTCATTTATAAAAATGATGACATAGACAGTGCTGTGCAATCAAAGAAAGCAGGCCTTAAAGAAAATTGGGAACAAAAAGAAACAGAAACAGCAATGCTACAAGCATCCATTAAAAGGCATATATATCAAATAGATCTTAAAGACGATTCATAAAGAGGAAGAAAGATATAGGGGAAAAAGAGGGAAAGAAAAATAAATTGTTTAAAAACTTATTGCTCTGAAGAGAGGAAAGAAGTAGGCTATGTTAACTATAGAAGGTAAACAGAAAACAGCAGACTCTTATGACAGAGCCACTGTTTTAATAAGGCATTTAATGTTTTTGTTGTTAGGTGTCATTGAGTCAGTTCTGACTCCTAGTGAACTTATATACAACAGAACAAAACACTACCTGGTCCTGTGCCATCCTCACAATCATTGCTATGTTCAAGCCCTTTGTTGCAGTCACTGTGTCAATCTATTACAAGCATGATGTCCTTCTCCAGGGACTGGTCCTTCCTGATAACATGTCCAAAGTACATGAAATGAAGTCCTACCATCCTTGCTTCTAAGGTACATTCTGGTAGTTAATACTGTCCACGTTTTAATGACTAAAAACAAGTTGGGGCAATGAAAACTACAAAAATGATTTTATATATTTAAAAAAAAAAAAACACTGTCAATGAGTCAATTCCAACTCAATAGTGACCCGAAAGGTCAGGATAAAACAGCCCTGTAGGGTTTCCAGACTATAAATCTTTATGGAAGCAGACTGCCTTATCTTTCTCCCTGGAACGGCTGGTAGGTTTGAGCCAATGACCTGTTAGTTAGCAGCAAAATGCTTTAACCACTACACCAACAGCTCCTTAGATTTACATATATGATAGCAATGTAACTGTAGAAACTTTTCCATAGTTGAAATGATACCACTTAAGAGTTTTATTTTCCTTTTTTACTTGCTCTGTGTATAGCAAAGTTAACTAATGTGTTTTGTTGTTCCAAAAAAATAATTAAAAATTCTATATAAAAATAAAATTTTGTTCACAAAGGAAAACCAGATGGAAATGTCACTTTTTATTTGGCATTCCACACCTTTAAAAAGCATATCTCACTTCACTCCCACTAAGATGGCTATGATTAAAAAAAAAAAAAAAAACCCAGAAAATAAAAAATGTTGGCGAGGATGTAGGGAAATTAGAACCCCTGTCTGTTGCTAGTAGGAATACAAAATGGTACAGCTGTTGTGGAAAACAGTGTGGCATTTCCTCAAAAAACTACAAATAGAACTTCCATCTGACCCAGCAATTTCACTTGTAGGTAAATATCCAACAGACTTGAAAGTAGAGAGTCAAAAAGAGATTTGTATACCAATGTTCATTACAGTACCATCCACAATAGCCAAAAGGTGGGAAGAACCTAAATGCCCATTACAGATAAATATATAAACAAAATGTGGTACACATATACAATGGAATACTACTTAGCCAGTAGGAGAAATAAAGTCTTGATACATGCTGCAGTATGGATGGAACTTGAAGACCTTATGTTGAGCAAAATACGCCCATCACAAAAGGACAAATATTTTGTGACTACATTTATATAAAAATACAAATGTTTAGAAACTAAAGTTTACTAGTGGTTACCAAGGGTGGGAGAAAGCGGGAAGAGGGGAGTTAATTGTGATAGAATCATCACATTGATTTAAGGGTAGGGTTGCATAGTCAATTAATGTAATTGCTGTCAGTGAGTTGTATACTTGTAAAGAGTTAAATTCGCACAAGTTATGTAATAGATATCTTTATAAGTTATGTAATAGATATTTTTACAACAATGACAAAAATTAAGAATAGCTGCTGAGGCTGCTTAAGTACAACCAAACACCTCATGGGATTTTGTTCCTTGGTTTGGAGGTTTAGGGTCATGGTTTGATGAACATCCCAGTTAACTGCCCTAATAACATTTTTCATGCTTCTGTTCTTCCTCTGGGTTTGATGCATAGTGCCTAGGGTAGCATAAACTTGCCAAGTGGCCATCCAAGGCACACCAATTGGTTTCTATTTCACCTGGAACAACAGAGGAAGAAGGAGGGTCAGGAATGGGGAGAGGATAAGGAATGCGTGGCTAATTGCCTCCATGAACAACTGCCTCCTTTTCCAGTTAGACCAGAAGAACTGGATGGTGCCCAGCTACCATTACTGAGCATTTTGATCAAAGATTCTGTAAAAGAATCCTGATTAAAAGGAGGAAAATGCAGACCAGAGTTTCAAATGATCATGGATTCCAGATTTTCTGGAGTCATGGAGGATGGATAAACTCCTCAAACTACTGCCCTGAGATAATCTTTAAACCTTAAACTAAAAACATTCCCTGAAGTCTTCTTAAAACCCAACAATAGTTTACCTTAAGTAGTAAGAAAGGTCTGCCTTGAGCACTATGCTCTTTTAAAAACCATCTACATGGGATCAAACGGACAACAACCTGAATGATTAGAGAGATAGTGAGCTGATGTTAATGAAGGAGAAACAACTCAGAAAAGGGGGGTGAAAAACAGTTGCACAATTTGAAGAATGTAAGCAATGTTCCTAAATTGTACATTTAAAAATGGTTGTTCTGTATATTCTCAACAACAAAATAAATGAAATTTAGAAGAAAAAAATTAAAGCATATTGACTATATCTGAACTCTGGACTAAAGAAGCATGTGACTAACCCTGAGTCTTCAGCCCCAAAATTAAATGATTCTCAGATGACTCTACATAAGTGAAGAACCACTGCTGCCACTGGTAACAAAGGGAACATTAAAAACAAACAGAGCTACTCCCCACTTCTTATGGTAAAATATAAAATGCTTATTCATCCCTTAAATGTGGCAGAAACATTACAGAAGGAGTTTTAAATCAGGCAGCATGATCCAAAAATACCATATCAGCTTACTGATTTATACTTCATACTGTTCCACTGGCAGATATCCTTACTCTTCAGAGCACAAGGAGCTGCCACTTCTGACTGAGCCCAGCATTTCAAAACTGGGAACTCTGGGAAAAAAAAAGCAGTAGAACAACATGTCAGAAAATATATATATATATATGTGCTAGAGGCTAGACTTGTACTGAACCTAACATAAGTCTTTCATGTTAGGAGATGAGTATTCTAACATTTTAATACAATATATATATGAATTGGACCTACTTCTCAAATGCTGTTTTATTTTAGCAGCCAGTTCTATGTGAATGAATGCCTAAGAAATTATAGAATTATGAAGGCTGCACAGAAGTTGAATTGGACAGCTTGATACATTTTTATATAGTAAACATACCCACAGAAAGAGCACTGAAATCAAGAAACAGAACTCAGTATCAGAACTCCACATGGTTGCTTATGAAGGGGCACCCTCTTATCTAGGGTAAGTAACAGGAGCTCTGGTGGTGTAATGCCTACGGCATTTGACTGCTAACCAGAAGGCTGGCAGTTCAAACCTACCAGCTACTCCTTGGAAGGAAGACTGGGCAATCTACTTCTGTAGAGATACTGCCTCAGAAACCCAAGGAAGGGTCTATGAGTCAGATTCGACCTAACAGCAGGGAGTTTGGTTTTGTTTTTGGTTTAGGGTAAGTAAAAGGTACCATTAATAGAGACAGAAAACTAGATTGGATAAAGAAAGCTAATAGACTTAAACACTTTTGTATTTTCTTATAATGGAATGTATGATGGTAGCAAACATATCACTAAAAACTGTCTATCTGCCAGTCCTTAGTAAAAGTGCCTACTGACTTTTAAAAGTGCTACTAATTTTTGTTAACATTCTGTGTCAGCTCACACTTAGAGCCACAAAGAGCCAAAATCTGCAAAATAAATAAATAAACCCCACTACCATCAAATCAATTCGTACTCATAATCCCATTGGGTTTCTGAGGCATTAAATCTTATGGATGTAGGTTTTCCTGTCTTCCTTTTGCGAGTGGTTGGTGAATTTTAACCATCAGCCTTCTCGTTAGCGGTCAAATGCCTTAGGCACTGTGTCACCAGAGCTCTTAAAATCTAAAAAGGGCCTCCTAAATTAAAGAAAAAGACTTGATTCTGGTAAAACTAAAAATTCTGATTTTTTAAAAAAAATCTACCCACATCTCTACATGAAAACAGAAAGAGCGAGTACAGAGCAAAATGAAAAATTCATGGACACCATTAACTACAAAATTAGGTGAAAAAGTATTGCCTTCAACTAGCATGCAACTACTGGTCTCTCCTTGTCCAGAGCAAAGAAGAGTGAAGAAAATCAAAGGCAGATGGAAACAACTAGTCCAAGGAACAAGTGGACGATGGGAACCTCAGCCTACATGACCCTGACACCAGAACTAGACAGTGCTCAGCTATCACTGCCAACCACTTGGAAAGAGATCAAAATTTAAGATCCTAGATAGAGTGGGAGAAAAATGTGGAACAAAACTCAAAATCATAAAAAAGACCAAACTTACTGCTCTGATAGAGACTGGTAAAACCCCTGAGACTATAGCCCCTCGTCACCATTTGGGTCTGGAGTTGAACTCACTCTCGTGGCTTCACCTTCAGCCAAACAATAGACAGGCTTATGAGGTGACCAACTACACCAGGGAGGTGCACATCTTAGAACAATCAACCACAGGCGATCAGAAGGGCAGCTTTTGCACAGGGAGAAAGCTCAGAAGGCAGGAATGCATAGGAAAAGGTAACCACAGGAAGGGAGTGGGAAGAGAGTGGGAAAGCTAATAGAGTTGAATACGCTATTCAGTGTCACAAAACAAAATGTGTATGAACTGTTCAGTGGAAAATGAATTTGCTCTGTCAATTTTCATCCAAATCACAATAAAAAGTTAAAAAAATATATTGTCTTAAATCCCAAAATACACGCAAGTGGAGACAAAACACCAAAAATCACAAATCCTGCAATTCTAGCATTAGTGCAGGAAGAAACAGAAAGAAACAAAAGGGAAACAGAAGGACTTGAGGACAAGAGAAGCCCACACAGCCAATAGGTATTACTGAAAAGCACAGGGGGTTCAAACTGAGAAAAGCAAGTGAAATACATAAGGGCTTTGACACTTCCAAAACAATAAAGTCTAAGGGGTTCACAGTATTGTCTAGATGGCTAGACTCTATGAATTCTCAAATTCTCAAGCCATCAAAACTCCCTTTCAGGACAGTTTCACACTGAAGAGAATGTGATTAGAGTGAAATTAAAGTTGAGGAGAGCAAGGATAATGAAAATGAAAGAGAAGGTTCCCGTAAGGGTGGAGAATGGACTATGGAGCAGAATAACATTTCTTTAGACAATAAAAAGCACACGAGAGAGAGATGCCCATAAATCAGATCAAATTAGAACTATTTCAAAACAGGCTAACAGACTTTAAGGAAATAATATAAGATACGAAAGAACATCTAGACAAAAAGAGTATGTGACTTTTAATGGAAAAAAAATTGGATCAGCATCACACTTTAGGTCAGGGGTTGGCAAACATTTAAAGAGCCAGATAGAAAACATTTTAGGCTTTGTGGCAATATGATCTCTGTTGCAACTATGTACTCAACTCTACCACTGCAAAGGCAATGGTATGTAATCAAAGAGCTGTGGCTATGTTCCAGTAAACCCGTATTTACAGAAACAGGCAGTGGACCAGATTTATTCCTGGGGCTATAGTTTACCAACCTCTGCTTTAGGCCCAATGAAATCGGAGCAACATGGCAAAGATACTCAAGGAAAGAAAATGTGGGCCAAAGACATAAAATGTAATAATTACATCATCTGAAAATGTAGATACAGTCAAACTGTTAAGAAATGGAGGAGGAATGGAAATAGAATATGGAAAAAGTTCAAGTGTTTTCAGTAATCAGTGGTAATGGTAGTACTAGTATGTGTATGGAGATATATATGTGTACAAATGTGTGTGTATCTGTCCTCTGCAAAGGCCAAGAAAAAAATGACAAACCCAGGAGTAATTAGTATCCTTACCATCCATATTTTACTTCACTAAAAGGAACCAGGTGTGCATGAAGAAATGGTTGGTGTTTCAGGTCACGGGCAAGAAATGTACAAAATGGGCCTAGAACATCTTGTCATACTAGATTGCAAGTAAGCTATCAAAATCTAATAGGGTCATGTTAAAAGGACTCAGCAGCCAACTTAAAGAGGCTTCTACTGTCTAAAAACAGGATGCTTTGAGCTTCAATAATGATAAGAAACGCAACTGATTAAAACACAAGTATGTTGCTGTATGCTGTCAAGTTGATTCTGACTCACACTGACCCCACAGGACAGAGTAGAACTGCTCCATAGGGTTTTCTAGGCCGTGATTTTCACAGGAACACATCACCAGGTCTTTTCTCCCTCAGAGCCTCTGCTGGGTTCCAACTGCTGAGCCTTCAGTTAGCAGCTGAGCATTTAACCATTGAGCCACCAGGGCTCTTTTCAAGTGTGTTAAAATTCAGTACTTACTAGTATTTTAAGAACTGATTAGTCACCTTCTGAGGATGACACAAAACTAATTTGTAATCTTAACAGCCAATAAATAGAGGGAAAGAATCAAGCATCTATGCTTTGTTTTCCACATGATATCAGTACCAAATAACAGATGAAGGAAACATAACAAAAAAATGAAGGAAAAAAAAAGAATTAATGTATCACTATTTAGCAACCCCCATTGAATGAATAGATCTAGGTAATGAGAATCAAAGGTTGCTAACATCACAAAAAGAAATACCACCAGACATTATACATCTCCTGATAAAAGAACATAACACCACTCTATAGTCTTGACAAAGGAATCAAACCTGAACCTGATCTCACCTCTGGAGCCAGCTGCTGATTTCCAGAAAACAAAGAAATCAAAGGATCATGCTGAACTGATCATGACAAAAAGAAGACAGCAAGACCCTAACTATGAGAGATTTTACAGGTCAAATGGCCCCTGTTGTTCAACAGATACATTTTAAAGAAAAGAAAGGAATATAGGGAAAACCTGTAAATTAAGAAACATAACAGAGATAAGAAAAATTTTTTAAGTGGGTAAGACTTAAGTATGCCCACTTATGTGATAAAATCATAAAGATACATAAGGAAGTAAATCACAGTCAGGAGAGGGGTTAGTTTTAGAGGGAAGGGGAGGCTGTGACTGGGACAGGGTACATGGAATTGCAGCTAGGATGACTGGCAAAGTTCTATCTCTTGACCCAGGTAGTAGCATTTTCCTTGTAATAATTCACTAAGCTACATATTTGTTTGTAAAGTTTATATCTATGCTTCATTTTGTAATAAAAAAAAATTAAAAGAAGCATTGCTTATCTCTGCAGACTTGTCACTATACCTTTATTTTTATTTCCAACCCTCAGAAAATATTTGCAACCCTCACCTTGGTCACAGTACATCAATAAATCTGGGTTACTGATAACAATAAAGGTTTCTCCATCTTTATTATGTGGCCGATGATAGCGGTAGTGCACAGGCAAAAAGGCTTGGAAACAATCAATGCACTGTGAATCTTGTCTGGCATAAATGAGAATTTCAGATTCCTCGGACAAATAGTTAGGAGCTTCTATATTAAAGTTTTCTGAAACCATCACTGCCTGTCAAAAAGAAAACAAGTATTAATCCAGAAGAATTAAGATTAAAAGAAAAAAAAAAACCCAAAAGAATACTATAAAGATGAACAAGTGTCAAATCTAAACCCCTTACAAACCATTCCCATTTTCAACTTTAAGTAGAAAATACAAGATGTGATCTGTGTTTTAATAAACATTTGTTTACTAAAAGTAAAATGAGGAAATTATATTGTAGGGTGCCAAATTTAGCCATAAACCCACTGCCATTGAGTCGATTCCAACTGATAATGACCATACAGGATGGAATAGAACTGCTCCATAGGGTTTCCAAGGCTGTAATCTTTACAGAAGCCAATTCCCACTTCTTTCTCCACGGAGCAGCTGGTGGGCTCAAACCTCCAACCTTGTGGTTAGCAGCCAAGCATTTTAACCACTATGTCACCAGGGCTTCTGAATTTCTCCCTCATACATGTCCTTATTAACCCCTCTTTAGGTGACAAACCAGTACCAAGAAAAGAAATTTTGTGAATAAATGTGGAATTATTTAGTAAGTATAGAAGCTACTAAGACAAAAACAGTTAAATCAGTATTGGGTTAAAATGATTAGTATCATTCTGGTAATTTCCTGTTCTTCAGAGAAGCAAGACAGTAATGAGTAAGGCACAGTGCTGTGGTCAGGAAGTCAAAGCAAAGCCTATAAGGTCAGCACTCTTTCTATACTAGGTATAAAGTTAATGGAAAAAATGGTACATGATTCTTTAAAAAAAAAAAATGTATTCTCCACCAAAAGTGAAAACGTACACGTAGCCAAAATTAGTCCTAAATTATGTGACATATATATTTTATATGTACATTATAACAGTGTGTATGTATATATGTATGTATGTATACACACACACACACACAGAACCTGTGGTGGCATAGCGTCTAAGGCATTTCACTGCTAACCAGAAGCCTTGCAATTCAAACTTAGCAGCAGCTCTGCAGGAGAGATGGGGCAATCTACTTCTGTAAAAATCTACCACCTCAGAAACCCAATGGGGGTCACTGTGAGTCAGAATCAACTCAATGGCAGTGAGTTTGATTTTTGTTTTTTTATATACATGTATACATATGTGTGTGTATATATACACACACACACACACACACACACAATCTCCATGTGTGTACATATATAGGCATTATATGTATAATACATGGATGGATGGATGTACAGAAACACACAATTTTTCTTCAGATTCCCTATGCAGAGCCCTGCCGACTCTCAGACAGTCAGCATTAACTCCTCCATCACAGTAAGCAAGCATCTGAATTCTCCTATTTGACAATGACCCCAACTGCTACTTCTTTTCACATGTTGTTCCTTCTCTGCTAATCACAGCAGTAACAGAATCATTGGCAAAGATCAAGGAATTATATGATTTTAAGAGTCATAAGGGACCTCAAAAAATGGCCAAATGAACGCATTTTTTCAATTATCCAGCCATTGTTCGATTACTTACAATGAATGCAATGGAGATTATTTCAAATCATCTCATTCTATCTACTGCTAAAAGGTTCTTCCTTTTTTTCATAAGTGGAAACTTGATTTCCTGGCCTATAACATTCACCAGTTGTTCCTGCTTACAATGGCTCCAATAAATCTGTTCCACTAAAGGTCCTTCAAACATTGGAAGGCAACTGTGCTCCCTTCCAATTTTTTTCTCCAGGAAAATATTCACAGTTCTCGGGATTTCTCATGACATGGTTTCTAAACCATTCATCATTATTAGTTGCCTTCTAAAATACTTACAACTGGAAGGCATAGAATTTAGTAACAACATTACTGTCTTTACCCAAAAACTGCATTAGCCTTAAAAGGCTAATCTTAGTGTTAGCCTTATCTTGGTGTTAGCAGCCTTATCTTAGTGTGCTATATTCTAACTCAGTGTACTGTATTCATCATTTGAACTTTTTGGAGAAAACTTTAACTTCCATTATATTTTTCAAGTAACTGACTTTTTATTAACTAAATGCAGGGCTTTAGATTTATTTCAATTAAAATAATTTTATCTTTGTAGTCATAGTTCATTTTTTCTGGGAGCTCTGGTGGCACAGTACCTAAGACATTTGACTACTAACCAGAAGGCTGGTGGTTCACACCCACCAGCCACTCCTTCTAGACTGTTAAAATTGTTTTTTGAAATCCCAATTTTATTAACCAACAGATGTCATCATGAATTTAATAGCCATGTCTTCTGTATTTTTACCTAAGGATAAAAATGTTGGCAAGAATGGTCAAGAGCAAAGTCCTAAGGAGTACTGGAGACCTCCTGCTAGATATTTATTGATGAACTCACTTTTGGGTACTAAATATAAATCAAAATTACACCTAGTCCAAATTTTTCTACCTTGTCAACAAGAATACACACATATATATATATATACACACACACACACACACACACACACACACACACATATATATACATACATACATATACATATATATATAAAATGATATCTTCCTTTGAGAACTTACTATATGCTATATGTCAGGTATTTAAGTTTACATGTCATACTTTCATTACTAAACAAAAAAAACCAAACTCGCTGGCTTCAAGTCGATTGCAACTCATAGCGACCCCTCTTTGGGTTCTGTGGTGGTATCTCTATGCAAGTAGATTGCCCAGTCTTCCTTCCGAGGAGCAACTGGTGGGTTTGAACAGCCAGCCTTCTGGTTAGCAGTCAAATGCCTTAGGCACTACGCCATGCTGCGTCACCAGAGCTCCCTTATATACATTATCTCCTTTGGTTTTCATAACAGCTTTATCAAATAGGAATTATTAGCCCTATCATATAAATGAGCAAACACAGTATGAGGGTGGTAAACAACACAGCTAGTAGGTAGTAAAGCCAAGATTCAAAGCCAGGTCAAACTGACTTCACTACTCATTTACGTTAATATATAAATTAGCTAATATTTGACCAGTTGAAAACGAAACATAATAAATGTACCATGTTTTCCCCACATATAACGCACCCATGTAAATAACATGCATGTGCATATAATGTGAACAATGCGCACACAGGAAACTAATGAGCAGAGGGGTTGCGCAGTTTGCAAAAAAATATGTAGTGCATGTATTACTTGCGTAAAAATATATTATTAGCTTTCTAGAACTGCCATACAAATTACCACAAACTTGAGGAGCTTAAAACAGAAATTTATTCTCTCACAATTCTGAACCTAGAAATCTGAAATTAAGGTGTTAGCAGTCATGCTCTCTCCAAAATCTCTAGCGGAGAATCCTTCTTTGACTCTCCAGCTCTGGTACACCAGGTGTTCCTTGGCTTGTGGCAGCATTAACTTTAATCTCTGCCTCAGGCTTTCTATACCATTTTCCCTGTGTGTCTATGTCTGTGTCTCTTTTCTTCTTCTTATAGGGACACCAGCCATTCTGGATTAAGGCCCATCCTACTCCAGTATGATATTACCTTAAATAATTATATCGGCAACAACACTATTACCAAATATGCTCACATTCTGAGGTTACCAGAAGAACATAAATGGTAGGGGGTGGTGGTGAACACTACCCAATCTAGTACAATAAGTAAAACTGAAATAAATTATATTCCTGATTGTGATATTTATAATTTTTGATGGCACTATGATCTTCAATTTCTGTTTTTGTTATTATTTTTTCTACAGAAGTAAAAAATATAGGATCTTTGAAAATACTGAGGATACTTTTTTATATTAATTTAAAGTAGGATATAATGAAGATGATGCAGGTAGGAACAGCAATTTGGCTTTCAGAGAAGGATCTGTTGACAAAAGGATTATTTGGTGATGGTCCAAAATATCTCAAAAATGAGCCTTTATAAAAGGTTTCTTCTGGGAGTGATGAAAATGTTCTCGAATCAGATAGTGGTGACGGTTGTACAACTTTGTTCATTTACTGAACCACTGTATTGTACAGCTTAAAGGAATGACTTTTATGATAGGTGGATATGTGGATTATACCTCAATTTTTTTAATGAGAATAACTTTCTAAAAATGAGCATCAAGGTAGATCTAAATCCATTTTAAAGCAAGATCAATTAAGAACCAACAGAAGCTAACCCACAAACCATGTGAGATTATCTTGGAGGAGACTTAGTAGTTGTTGTTGTTAGGTGTTGCTGAGTAGATTTTGACTCACAGCGAGCCCATCATGTGTGGTACAGTGAATTACTTGGTATGGCTTTTCTAGCCTGGTCTTTGTGACTCCCACCAGATTAATGGGTGGACCTATGCAATTATAACATGATTGTGGCCCACCAAAGGGACTGGATCCCTTGCTGATAATGTAAACAAGCTATATGGCACCCTTGTGGGGGTGGGGACATGCAAATAAGGTGTATATGGAACACTAATGTTGGTATTGGTTAGTTTTGTCATTCTGCCAGGCTTAAAGTGAGCACTCCTAGAGGCACAAGCAGGATCTCACTGCCATCAAGAGAGCAGAGCTGGAGGTGGAGTGGAGTGCGTCCTTGGACCCGAAATCTCTGCATTGTACCTCCTTGGCAGAGATGACCAGCAGAGAGAACCAGCTGAGGAACCAAGAGGCATGAGATCAAGCAGCAGCTTTGCCAGTCTACACAGTGAGAAAGGTGAGTACCTTAGGGCAGGAGGTTTGCTGGCAGAGTAGGGTACACCTTAGTGCACTTATCAGCTGAGCTAAGAGTTTTTAACAATTGCCCAAGGAAACAGAGGCCAGGCCAAGAGGTCATTGCCTGAGAGCATATCTAAGGGGAGACTGTCCACATGGAAGAAATGTATCCTGAGAATGTTCCTGAACTGAATTATAAACTGTTACTTTCCTAATAAACCCCATAATTGTGAGTATTGTCTATGAGTTCTAAGTGGCCAATGCAACAAATTATCAAACCCAGCAGGGCAGTAGTGAGTGCCGTGGGAGGGACTACTAGTGTTAGAATTGGTAAAAAGGGTGGAAGGTGGTGGTGGCATGTCTGGCCTCATAGAACTAAACCTTGGACTGCTGATGGTGATTCTGTCTCCCTCTTGTGAAGTTAGAGGTGGTCAGAAGATGCCACCATCATATTCTTTGTGTATCATGTGACAGAGTAGAACTGCCCTCATAAGGTTTCTCAGGCTGTAATCTTTAAAGGAGGAGCTCTGGTGGCATAGTGCCTAAGTCATTTGACTGCTAACCAGAAGGCTGGCAGTTCAAACCCACCAGCCACTCTTCAGAAGGAAGGTTGGCTGTAGTGATACTGCCTGGGAAACCCAAGGAGGGGTCACAATGAGTCAGATCCAACTTGACAGCACTGAGTGAGTGAATCTTTAAAGGAGCAGATTGCCAAAATGGATTGTGGGTTCAAACTGCAAACCTTTCAAATAGCAGCCAGGTGCTTAACCACTGCACCACCAGGGCTCCTCAACAACAGCAATAACCCTACGTAACATGAAATAAGGTTAATCTAGCACAAGTTATCTCATTAAGGATTGTCTTTATTTTCAAATTGATCACAAACCATCATAAACTCCTTATAAAGTATCTTGCTGCCACATCACCCATCCAATTTGGACTCAGTGTTCTATTAGCTTCAGCTAAAAATTTTATCTCATGTATAAATCTCATGGAACAGAGTTAAGATCTCAATCCAGGTATTTTATAATAAACGATTCCTTACACATAAATTTCCTTTTTCCCAGTTAAAGGTATCACATAATACTATTTTTTATGGCAAAGTTTCTCTATATAAGGATTTGGGTCACAATCTCAACCTAACTAGGAAACAGCAACTGACATATCAAGCAGTCAACTTCCAATTATCTCCATGTCATAAATGAGGTATCTATTTTTTGAAAAATTTCCAAATTAAAAAGTAAATTCACTTACAAGGATTATAATTAGCAATTATAAGATTAGGAAACAGAAAATCAACATAAGAAAAATTTGTCAATCTACAGTGGCACCCCTGCTGCTAAGCACTATTTATTAATCTTTAATCTCCTTCACATATATTATATATATAGGTTTTTCAGTCATTAACATGAACCATCTTGCCAAAAGCACTTAACTAGCTCAGTTTAGTTGGGTTATTCCTTGTATCATTGATTCCTTAAAGAAGACTTTCATTACAGCTCTAAACGGTCACTTCATTCATTTTAACAAAAGGAAAAAATATCACAATATTGTCTTGTTCGCTATTTTACCTTAATCCAAAATTAACTTCTTAAAAAAATCTCCTAATAGTTATACCTCTGTTACATTTCTCTCTTGTAATGAAGCCAACTCATATGGATCCACAAAAAGTCCTGCAGGAATATACTGTTTAATTAAAAGTCGGCAGGTCTGTAAATACTCAATGCTCTCTCCAAACTTCACTTTTACTAAAAGGTCTCTGTAAGACAAATACATTTAAAGTGAAACTCTTCATTCAATTCTTAAATGAAATAGCATAACACTATATTTAAATTTGCAGAAATATCACATTTCAAATTCATTTTTCAGATTATTGAGTCAAATGAAATATTTATACTATGTCAGAATCACCCATTAAATCACTCATAACTTCATGACATAAACCACAGCACAGCTGTTATGTTGTTGTGCTGTTTGATGCTGTCAAATTGGTTCCAACCCACAGCCAATGAAAATATTGCCTGGTACTGCACCAGGATCACAGCTGTTGCTATGTTTGAACTTACTGTTGCAGCCACTGTGACAATCCATCTAGTTTAGGGTCTTACTCTTTTTCACTGACCCTCCACTTTACTAAACATGATGTAAAGTGGTCCCTCCAGATACATGTGCGAAGTACATGAGACAAAGTTTCCCCATTCTCCCTTCTAAAGAGCATTCTGCCTGTATTTCTTCCAAGACAGAGTTGTTCATTCTTCTGGCAGTCCATGGTATATTCAATATTCTTCACTAACACCATAATTCAAAGGCACTGTGATAGTTAGAGCTGTGTGTCAACTTGACTGGACCACAATTCTGTGTGGTTTAAGCAGTTGCAATGTGGGTTATTCCCATGATGGGATCGGATGTATATGTTTTGAGCAGCCAATCTGTTGAAAGGGAGTTTCCCTAGGGCTGTGGCCTGCTTCCAATATATTTATGGACATCCTGGGAAGAGACACTCTTCTGTGGATCGGGATCCTGTTGTGCTGCCTATAACTGTCCGTGAGCGAACAATCCACCATTCGGCCTGGAGATCTTGGATTCATCATTCATTGGAGTCAACAGCCAGTGTACTGCCTGCCAACTTTGAGTTCAGGAGCTCTGGTAGCATAGTGCCTAAGGCACTTGACTGCTAACCAGAAGGCTGGCGGTTCTAACCCACCAGCCACTCCTCGGAAGGAAGATTGGGCAACCTACTCCCATAGTGATACTGCCTCAGAAACCCAAAGAGGAGTCGCTGTGAGTCGAATCTGACTCAACACACATAACAACAAATAACAACAACCTTGAGCTCATCAGTCCCTGCAGCTGTGTGAGTCGGGAAAAGCCTCCAGCTTGATATTTGATCCAAGAACTTGGGACTTGCCGGCTTCTATAAGTGTGCGAGCCATTTTCCTAAGATAAATTTCTCTTTCTCTATAGGTATATGCTTTACTGGTTTTGCTTCTCTAGAGAACCTAGCCTAACACAGGCATCAATTCTTCTTCAGTCTTCCTTATTCATTGTCCATCTTTGGTATGCATATGAGATGACTGAAAATACCATGGTTTCAGTCAGGAACACCTTAGTCCTCAAAATGACATCTTTGCTTTGTTAACACTTGAAAGAAGTCTCTTGCAGCTGACTAGCCCAAAACAATACATTGTTTTATTTCTTGACTGCTGCTTCCATGGGTGTTAGTTGTGGATCCAAGTCAAATGAAATTCCTGACTTCAATCTTTTCTCTGTTCATTATAATGCTGCTTACTGGCCCAGCTGTGAGGATTTCTGTTTCCTTTACATAGAGGTATAATTCATACTGAAGGCTGCGGTCTTTGATCTTCATCGATAAGTATTTCAAGTCCTCTTCACTTTTAGCAAGTAGTATTGTGTTATCTGTATGTCACAGGTTATTAATGAATCTTCTTTCAATCCTGATGTTCCATTCTTTTTCATATAGTTGAGCTTCTTGGATTGAATAATATGGTAAAAGGATAAAACCCCGATGGACACCTTTACTGATTTTAAACTATGCAATATCAAATCCCAAAATACATGCAAGTAGAGACAAAACACCAAAAGTCACACAAGTCAAGTAATATCAGCAGGAAGAAACAGAAAGAAACAAAGGGACAAATGAAGGATCTGTGAAAAGAAAACCCTGAATAGCCAACAGGTACTACTGGAAAGCACAGGAGTAAGAAAATCTGGTAAAACGCATAAGGGCTTGGCTCACTTCAAAAACAGGTGAGTATAAGGGGTCCACAGTATAGTCTAGATGGTTGTACCCTATTAACTCTCAAAACCAAGCCATCAAGACTCCCTTGTAGGATAGTAAAAGTCCTGCACGAACACAATTAAGTGTTCTGGAATTCTTATTCTTCACAATGTTAGTCATAATTTGTTATGATCCATGTAGTCGAATGACTTTGTCAATAAAACAAACATCATACTTAATGGTGAAAGACTAGACTTTTTCCCTTAAGGTTGAGAACAAGGCAAGGATGTCTGCTCTCACTACTTTTATTCAATATTGTATCGATATCCTTACCAGTTCAAAAGGCAAGAAAAAGAAATAAAAAACACAGATTGTCTTTATTCACAAATATGTAATTATTTACATAGACTATCTTAAGGAATCTACAAAAAAAACCTATAAGTATTGACAAGTGATTTCAGCAAGGAAATAGGGTATAATGACAATATGTAAAAATCAACTGTATTTTTATTGCTTACAACAAACACCTAGCAATGAAATTAAAAAAAAAATACTCTTTACATAAAAAAAATTAAGTACTTAGGGATAAATTTAACAAAATACACACAAGACCTATAATCTGAAAGCTGTAATATTGTTAAAATAAACTGATTAAAATGTGGATAAATGGAGATGTGATGTTGATGGATTGAAACACTCATTAATGTTAACATAATTGTCTTCAATTTGATCTATAGTTTCAAGAGAATCCAATAAAAATTTCATGAAGCTTTACTAAAGAAATCAACAAGCTCATTTGAAAATTTATATGGAAATGCAAAAGATCCAGAATAACCAAACAATTCTGAAAAAGAACAAGGTGGGAAAGCACACACTTCTGATTCAAGACTTACTATTAAGCTACAGTTATCAAGACAGCATGTTAACTGGTATATGGATAGACAAAGATCAAAAGCTGTGAAATGTTTTCTGTAAAGGGCCAGATAGTAAATATTTTAGGCTTTGTGACAAAGTTCTCTGTTGCATGGTTTCCTTTTTTCTTTTTAACATCTCTGAAAAATGTCTAAATTCTTAGCTCGAGGGTCATACAAAAGAGCCCATTGGCAGAATTACACCCATGGGCCATAGTTTTAATAGAATGCATAAAAAGAGCCAAATACACAAGTAACAGGTTTCAACAAATATGTCAAGGTAATTTGATGAAGAAAGAATAGTCTTTTCAACAAACTGTGCTGGAGCAATTGGATATTCAAATGGAAGAAAAATTAATCTCAACTCTTAGGTAATATTATGCACAAAAATTAAAAATGAATCATACCTCTAATCGTAAAAGTTAAAAACTATACACTTCTGGTTTTTTTTATTGTGATTTGGGTGAAAATTTACAGAGCAAATTCACTTTCCATACAGCAGTTCACATACATTGTCTCATGACATTGACCACAATTCACCACAATGCAATAGCTCCCCTTCCACTTCCTCCTGACAATCACCTCCTGCCTGTGTCCATCCCTCCATGCACCCTTGCCCCCTGAGCTGTCTCCCTGTGAAAAATATGCTTCAAAGAAAATGTGTATGCTGTCAGAATAGGCATAGATTTACAAAGCACACAAAAACTGCAAACTCTGAAAGAAAAAAAAAATTGATAAACTAGGCTCTACCAAAATTAGAAATTTCTACTTTGAAGGACATCATTAAGAATATGAAATGGCAATTCACGGAATGGGAGAAAATACCTCCACACATACTTATGTCCAAAACATAAAGAGAGCTCTTAAAACTCAGTAAGATGACCAAAAACCCACTTTAAAAAGACAAATCACTTAAGCAGGTAATTCACAAAACATGCTATATGAACATAAGTGACAAAAAACACAAGAAAATGTGCTCAATATCATTGGTCATCAGGGAAATGCAAATTAAAACCACAACGAGATACCATTGTATACTCACTAGAATATCTAAAGTTAAAAAGATTGACCATACCAAAGTTTGGTGAGGGTGTGGTAGAAACGGAACTCTGATACACTCCAGTAGGAATGCAAAATAGTATAAACACTTTAGAAACAGTCTGGTAGTATCTTAAAAGGTTCAACACATATATATGATATAACCAGCAATTTAAGTTCATGCTAATTCACAGAGACCACCACTTCCTCTTCTGTGTTCACAACCCATTCTTTTAAATATTGGTCTAGAATTTTGCCCAGAATCTGTATCAGGCTCAACCCTAGATATTTACCCAAAAGAAATGGAAACATATCCACACAAAGACTTCTACACAGATGTTCACTGCAATTTTATCGATAATAGCTCCAAACTGGAAATAACCCAATGTCATCGATATGTGAACAGATAAATCAATTTCAGCACTCAGCAAAAGAAACAGACTACTGCTACACAGAACAACATGGATGAATCACACAGACATAATGCTGAGTAAAAGAAGCCAGATATTACAACATACTGTATGAGTTCATGTATATAAAATTCTACAAAAGCCAAGTAATAAGAGAAAGAGATCAGTGGTTGACTAAGCGTAGGTATGAGTGAAGAAAAATAATTGCAAGTAGCATATGAGTATGTTTTGAGATGGTGAAAATGTTCTACATTTTGATTGTGGTAGAAGTTACATGGGTATATGTATTTGTCAAAACTCAATGAAGTTGATTTAAAAAAATAATAACAAAAAAATACTATGTAACAGTACTATTATAATTTCTACTTTAAAAACCAAACCAAAACCAAACTCACTGCCATCAAGTCAATACTGACTCATAGCGACCCACTTTGGGTTTCCGAGGCAGTAAATCTTTATGGAAGTAAATCGCCCAGTCTTCCTTCCATGAAGTGGCTGGTGAGTTTGAGCGGCCAACCTTCTGGTTAGCAGTCAAATGCCTTAGGCACTATGCCACCACAGCACCTTAATTTCTACTTTACTAGTAAGAAAATCAAGACACTGAGAGACTAAGCAACTTTTCCAAGAGCCAGGATCCAAACCTTCAAAAGCCCACATTCTT